AAAAAAGGGTGTGCGAAAGAAAGGAAAACAGCCAGTTTTTGGGGAAAGGAAAGGAACGTGAAGGATATGTGGAGGGAAGCGGAAAGGGGAAAGGGGATGGGGAAGGGTTGGGGCGAAGGGATGGGGAAGGGGGATGCGAAAGAGGCACGCAAATAAAAGGAACTGGGCACGTAAATGGAGTGGAAAAGAGGCTTAAGGGAGGCATGTACACAAACGGCATGGCTCCAAAAGCAAGGAAAGGGGCACAGAGTAGAGAAAGGGGATGGAGGGAGGCAAGGTGCGCACACGAATCCATCTCTTGACTTGTCAAACGGCCGAGAGGCAAGGTGAGGCGTGTCGTTGAATCGAGTGCTGAGAGCTCGCATGCTGGTGGGGGGAAGGGGAAGGGGGGGAGGCGGGCCACAGAGGAGAGAGGGGGGAACACCCTGAGGGCGGGCACTCAAGGTGGGGTGGGTCGTTGAATCGCGTGCTGAGAGCTCGCATGCTGGTGGGAGGGAGGCGAGGGAAGATGGGAGGAGTCAGGACAGGGGCGGGGGGGGAAGAGGGGGAAGGAGGGGAAACGATGGGTGAGCGCAGATGTATCTGTAACAAGATAAGAAAGTGAGTGCTGAGAGCCTGCATACTGGTTGGGGGAGGGGGGAAGCGGGGGAAGGGAAGTGGGGAGGGAAGTGGTGCGGGAGGGGAAACAGGAAGAGGGAAGGGAAACGAGGGGGTGGAGAGAGGGCGTAAAGGAGCAGGTTGACGGATGGTGGTGGGTGCATAAGTTGCGTGTTTGCGCTCCCAAGATGAGGCATGTCTTTGAACTGCATGCTGAGAGCGCGCATGGTGGTGGGCAGGAGGGGAAAAGAGGGGGAAAATGGTGGGCGCAGAGGCAGCAAGACACTTGTGAGTGTGCCTCCAAGTGGGGTGTGTTGTTGAACAGAGTGATGAGAGAGCTCGCATTAGCCATGGGCATGGACAATGGAGTCACGTTAGACATGGACAATGGAGTCACGTTAGACATGGGCAATGGAGTCACGTTAGACATGGGCAATGGAGTCACGTTAAACATGGGCAATGGAGTCACGTTAAACATGGGCAATTGAGTCACGTTAAACATGGGCAATGGAGTCACGTTAAACATGGGCAATGGAGTCACGTTAAACATGGGCAATGGAGTCACGTTAAACATGGGCAATGGAGTCACGTTAAACATGGGCAATGGAGTCACGCTAAACATGGGCAATGGAGTCACGTTAAACATGGGCAATGGAGTCACGTTAAACATGGGCAATGGAGTCACGTTAAACATGGGCAATGGAGTCACGTTAAACATGGGCAATGGAGTCACGTTAAACATGGGCAATGGAGTCACGTTAAACATGGGCAATGGAGTCACGTTAAACATGGGCAATGGAGTCACGTTAAACATGGGCAATGGAGTCACGTTAAACATGGGCAATGGAGTCACGTTAAACATGGGCAATGGAGTCACGTTAAACATGGGCAATGGAGTCACGTTAAACATGGGCAATGGAGTGACGTTAAACATGGGCAATGGAGTCACGTTAAACATGGGCAATGGAGTGACGTTAAACATGGGCAATGGAGTCACGTTAAACATGGGCAATGGAGTCACGTTAAACATGGGCAATGGAGTCACGTTAAACATGGGCAATGGAGTCACGTTAAACATGGGCAATGGAGTCACGTTAAACATGGGCAATGGAGTCACGTTAAACATGGGCAATGGAGTCACGCTAAACATGGGCAATGGAGTCACGTTAAACATGGGCAATGAGTCACGTAAACATGGCAATGGAGTCACGTTAAACATGGGCAATGGAGTCACGTTAAACATGGGCAATGGAGTCACGTTAAACATGGGCAATGGAGTCACGTTAAACATGGGCAATGGAGTCACGTTAAACATGGGCAATGGAGTCACGTTAAACATGGGCAATGGAGTCACGTTAAACATGGGCAATGGAGTCACGTTAAACATGGGCAATGGAGTCACGTTAAACATGGGCAATGGAGTCACGTTAAACATGGGCAATGGAGTCACGTTAAACATGGGCAATGGAGTCACGTTAAACATGGGCAATGGAGTCACGTTAAACATGGGCAATGGAGTCACGTTAAACATGGGCAATGGAGTCACGTTAAACATGGGCAATGGAGTCACGTTAAACATGGGCAATGGAGTCACGTTAAACATGGGCAATGGAGTCACGCTAAACATGGGCAATGGAGTCACGTTAAACATGGGCAATGGAGTCACGTTAAACATGGGCAATGGAGTCACGTTAAACATGGGCAATGGAGTCACGTTAAACATGGACAATGGAGTCACTTTAAACATGGGCAATGGAGTCACCTTAAACATGGGCAATGGAGTCACGTTAAACATGGGCAATGGAGTCACGTTAAACATGGGCAATGGAGTCACGTTAAACATGGACAATGGAGTCACGTTAAACATGGGCAATGGAGTCACGTTAAACATGGGCAATGGAGTCACGTTAAACATGGACAATGGAGTCACGTTACACATGGGCAATGGAGTCACGTTAAACATGGGCAATGGAGTCACGTTAAACATGGGCAATGGAGTCACGTTAAACATGGGCAATGGAGTCACGTTAAACATGGGCAATGGAGTCACGTTAAACATGGGCAATGGAGTCACGTTAAACATGGGCAATGGAGTCACGTTAAACATGGGCAATGGAGTCACGTTAAACATGGGCAATGGAGTCACGTTAAACATGGGCAATGGAGTCACGTTAAACATGGGCAATGGAGTCACGTTAAACATGGGCAATGGAGTCACGTTAAACATGGGCAATGGAGTCACGTTAAACATGGGCAATGGAGTCACGTTAAACATGGGCAATGGAGTCACGTTAAACATGGACAATGGAGTCACGTTAAACATGGGCAATGGAGTCACGTTAAACATGGGCAATGGAGTCACGTTAAACATGGGCAATGGAGTCACGTTAAACATGGGCAATGGAGTCACGTTAAACATGGGCAATGGAGTCACGTTAAACATGGGCAATGGAGTCACGTTGGGCATGGACAATGGAGTCACGTTAAACATGGGCAATGGAGTCACGTTAAACATGGGCAATGGAGTCACGTTAAACATGGGCAATGGAGTCACGTTAAACATGGGCAATGGAGTCACGTTAAACATGGGCAATGGAGTCACGTTAAACATGGGCAATGGAGTCACGTTAAACATGGGCAATGGAGTCACGCTAAACATGGGCAATGGAGTCACGTTAAACATGGGCAATGAAGTCACGTTAAACATGGGCAATGGAGTCACGTTAAACATGGGCAATGGAGTCACGTTAAACATGGGCAATGGAGTCACGTTAAACATGGGCAATGGAGTCACGTTGGGCATGGACAATGGAGTCACGTTAAACATGGGCAATGGAGTCACGTTAAACATGGGCAATGGAGTCACGTTAAACATGGGCAATGGAGTCACGTTAAACATGGGCAATGGAGTCACGTTAAACATGGGCAATGGAGTCACGTTAAACATGGGCAATGGAGTCACGTTAAACATGGACAATGGAGTCACGTTAAACATGGGCAATGGAGTCACGTTAAACATGGGCAATGGAGTCACGTTAAACATGGGCAATGGAGTCACGTTAAACATGGGCAATGGAGTCACGTTAAACATGGACAATGGAGTCACGTTAAACATGGGCAATGGAGTCACGTTAAACATGGGCAATGGAGTCACGTTAAACATGGGCAATGGAGTCACGTTAAACATGGGCAATGGAGTCACGTTAAACATGGACAATGGAGTCACGTTAAACATGGGCAATGGAGTCACGTTAAACATGGGCAATGGAGTCACGTTAAACATGGACAATGGAGTCACGTTACACATGGGCAATGGAGTCACGTTAAACATGGGCAATGGAGTCACGTTAAACATGGGCAATGGAGTCACGTTAAACATGGGCAATGGAGTCACGTTAAACATGGGCAATGGAGTCACGTTAAACATGGGCAATGGAGTCACGTTAAACATGGGCAATGGAGTCACGTTAAACATGGGCAATGGAGTCACGTTAAACATGGGCAATGGAGTCACGTTAAACATGGGCAATGGAGTCACGTTAAACATGGGCAATGGAGTCACGTTAAACATGGGCAATGGAGTCACGTTAAACATGGGCAATGGAGTCACGTTAAACATGGGCAATGGAGTCACGTTAAACATGGGCAATGGAGTCACGTTAAACATGGGCAATGGAGTCACGTTAAACATGGGCAATGGAGTCACGTAAAACATGGGCAATGGAGTCACGTTAAACATGGGCAATGGAGTCACGGTAAACATGGGCAATGGAGTCACGTTAAACATGGGCAATGGAGTCACGTTAAACATGGGCAATGGAGTCACGTTAAACATGGGCAATGGAGTCACGTTAAACATGGGCAATGGAGTCACGTTAAACATGGGCAATGGAGTCACGTTGGGCATGGACAATGGAGTCACGTTAAACATGGGCAATGGAGTCACGTTAAACATGGGCAATGGAGTCACGTTAAACATGGGCAATGGAGTCACGTTAAACATGGGCAATGGAGTCACGTTAAACATGGGCAATGGAGTCACGTTAAACATGGGCAATGGAGTCACGTTAAACATGGACAATGGAGTCACGTTAAACATGGGCAATGGAGTCACGTTAAACATGGGCAATGGAGTCACGTTAAACATGGGCAATGGAGTCACGTTAAACATGGGCAATGGAGTCACGTTAAACATGGGCAATGGAGTCACGTTAAACATGGACAATGGAGTCACGTTAAACATGGGCAATGGAGTCACGTTAAACATGGGCAATGGAGTCACGTTAAACATGGGCAATGGAGTCACGTTAAACATGGGCAATGGAGTCACGTTAAACATGGACAATGGAGTCACGTTAAACATGGGCAATGGAGTCACGTTAAACATGGGCAATGGAGTCACGTTAAACATGGGACAATGGAGTCACGTTACACATGGGCAATGGAGTCACGTTAAACATGGGCAATGGAGTCACGTTAAACATGGGCAATGGAGTCACGTTAAACATGGGCAATGGAGTCACGTTAAACATGGGCAATGGAGTCACGTTAAACATGGGCAATGGAGTCACGTTAAACATGGGCAATGGAGTCACGTTAAACATGGGCAATGGAGTCACGTTAAACATGGGCAATGGAGTCACGTTAAACATGGGCAATGGAGTCACGTTAAACATGGGCAATGGAGTCACGTTAAACATGGGCAATGGAGTCACGTTAAACATGGGCAATGGAGTCACGTTAAACATGGGCAATGGAGTCACGTTAAACATGGGCAATGGAGTCACGTTAAACATGGGCAATGGAGTCACGTAAAACATGGGCAATGGAGTCACGTTAAACATGGGCAATGGAGTCACGGTAAACATGGGCAATGGAGTCACGTTAAACATGGGCAATGGAGTCACGTTAAACATGGGCAATGGAGTCACGTTAAACATGGGCAATGGAGTCACGTTAAACATGGGCAATGGAGTCACGTTAAACATGGGCAATGGAGTCACGTTAAACATGGGCAATGGAGTCACCTTAAACATGGACAATGGAGTCACGTTAAACATGGGCAATGGAGTCACCTTAAACATGGGCAATGGAGTCACGTTAAACATGGGCAATGGAGTCACGTTAAACATGGGCAATGGAGTCACGTTAAACATGGGCAATGGAGTCACGTTAAACATGGGCAATGGAGTCACGTTAAACATGGGCAATGGAGTCACGTTAAACATGGGCAATGGAGTCACGTTAAACATGGGCAATGGAGTCACGTTAAACATGGGCAATGGAGTCACGTTAAACATGGGCAATGGAGTCACGTTAAACATGGGCAATGGAGTCACGTTAAACATGGGCAATGGAGTCACGTTAAACATGGGCAATGGAGTCACGTTAAACATGGGCAATGGAGTCACGTTAAACATGGGCAATGGAGTCACGTTAAACATGGGCAATGGAGTCACGTTAAACATGGGCAATGGAGTCACGTTAAACATGGGCAATGGAGTCACGTTAAACATGGGCAATGGAGTCACGTTAAACATGGGCAATGGAGTCACGTTAAACATGGGCAATGGAGTCACGTTAAACATGGGCAATGGAGTCACGTTAAACATGGGCAATGGAGTCACGTTAAACATGGGCAATGGAGTCACGTTAAACATGGGCAATGGAGTCACGTTAAACATGGGCAATGGAGTCACGTTAAACATGGGCAATGGAGTCACGTTAAACATGGGCAATGGAGTCACGTTAAACATTGGCAATGGAGTCACGTAAAACATGGGCAATGGAGTCACGTTAAACATGGGCAATGGAGTCACGTTAAACATGGGCAATGGAGTCACGTTAAACATGGGCAATGGAGTCACGTTAAACATGGGCAATGGAGTCACGTTAAACATGGGCAATGGAGTCACGTTAAACATGGGCAATGGAGTCACGCTAAACATGGGCAATGGAGTCACGTTAAACATGGGCAATGGAGTCACGTTAAACATGGGCAATGGAGTCACCTTAAACATGGGCAATGGAGTCACCTTAAACATGGACAATGGAGTCACGTTAAACATGGGCAATGGAGTCACCTTAAACATGGGCAATGGAGTCACGTTAAACATGGGCAATGGAGTCACGTTAAACATGGGCAATGGAGTCACGTTAAACATGGACAATGGAGTCACGTTAAACATGGGCAATGGAGTCACGTTAAACATGGGCAATGGAGTCACGTTAAACATGGGCAATGGAGTCACGTTAAACATGGGCAATGGAGTCACGTTAAACATGGGCAATGGAGTCACGTTAAACATGGGCAATGGAGTCACGTTAAACATGGGCAATGGAGTCACGTTAAACATGGGCAATGGAGTCACGTAAAACATGGGCAATGGAGTCACGTTAAACATGGGCAATGGAGTCACGGTAAACATGGGCAATGGAGTCACGTTAAACATGGGCAATGGAGTCACGTTAAACATGGGCAATGGAGTCACGTTAAACATGGGCAATGGAGTCACGTTAAACATGGGCAATGGAGTCACGTTAAACATGGGCAATGGAGTCACGTTAAACATGGGCAATGGAGTCACCTTAAACATGGACAATGGAGTCACGTTAAACATGGGCAATGGAGTCACCTTAAACATGGGCAATGGAGTCACGTTAAACATGGGCAATGGAGTCACGTTAAACATGGGCAATGGAGTCACGTTAAACATGGGCAATGGAGTCACGTTAAACATGGGCAATGGAGTCACGTTAAACATGGGCAATGGAGTCACGTTAAACATGGGCAATGGAGTCACGTTAAACATGGGCAATGGAGTCACGTTAAACATGGGCAATGGAGTCACGTTAAACATGGGCAATGGAGTCACGTTAAACATGGGCAATGGAGTCACGTTAAACATGGGCAATGGAGTCACGTTAAACATGGGCAATGGAGTCACGTTAAACATGGGCAATGGAGTCACGTTAAACATGGGCAATGGAGTCACGTTAAACATGGGCAATGGAGTCACGTTAAACATGGGCAATGGAGTCACGTTAAACATGGGCAATGGAGTCACGTTAAACATGGGCAATGGAGTCACGTTAAACATGGGCAATGGAGTCACGTTAAACATGGGCAATGGAGTCACGTTAAACATGGGCAATGGAGTCACGTTAAACATGGGCAATGGAGTCACGTTAAACATGGGCAATGGAGTCACGTTAAACATGGGCAATGGAGTCACGTTAAACATGGGCAATGGAGTCACGTTAAACATGGGCAATGGAGTCACGTTAAACATGGGCAATGGAGTCACGTTAAACATGGGCAATGGAGTCACGTTAAACATGGGCAATGGAGTCACGTTAAACATGGGCAATGGAGTCACGTTAAACATGGCAATGGAGTCACGTTAAACATGGGCAATGGAGTCACGTAAACATGGGCAATGGAGTCACGTTAAACATGGGCAATGGAGTCACGTTAAACATGGGCAATGGAGTCACGTTAAACATGGGGCAATGGAGTCACGTTAAACATGGGCAATGGAGTCACGTTAAACATGGGCAATGGAGTCACGTTAAACATGGGCAATGGAGTCACGCTAAACATGGGCAATGGAGTCACGTTAAACATGGGCAATGGAGTCACGTTAAACATGGGCAATGGAGTCACCTTAAACATGGGCAATGGAGTCACCTTAAACATGGACAATGGAGTCACGTTAAACATGGGCAATGGAGTCACCTTAAACATGGGCAATGGAGTCACGTTAAACATGGGCAATGGAGTCACGTTAAACATGGGCAATGGAGTCACGTTAAACATGGACAATGGAGTCACGTTAAACATGGGCAATGGAGTCACGTTAAACATGGGCAATGGAGTCACGTTAAACATGGGCAATGGAGTCACGTTAAACATGGGCAATGGAGTCACGTTAAACATGGGCAATGGAGTCACGTTAAACATGGGCAATGGAGTCACGTTAAACATGGGCAATGGAGTCACGTTAAACATGGGCAATGGAGTCACGTTAAACATGGGCAATGGAGTCACGTTAAACATGGGCAATGGAGTCACGCTAAACATGGGCAATGGAGTCACGTTAAACATGGGCAATGGAGTCACGTTAAACATGGGCAATGGAGTCACGTTGGGCAATGGAGTCACGTTAAACATGGACAATGGAGTCACGTTAAACATGGGCAATGGAGTCACGTTAAACATGGGCAATGGAGTCACGCTAAACATGGGCAATGGAGTCACGTTAAACATGGGCAATGCAGTCACGTTAAACATGGGCAATGGAGTCACGTTAAACATGGGCAATGGAGTCACGTCGATGCACGCCACATTTTTTTAATCAACTCAAAGGCAAGCCTCTGTTCAATCGGCAGCCATTCCCCCCCATACCTCTCATCGCAAGCATAGACCACGGCCCACCACTCAACACCCGCTGCCCACCACTCAACACCCGCTGCCCACCACTCAACACCCGCTGCCCACCACTCAACACCCGCTGCCCACCACTCAACACCCGCTGCCCACCACTCAACACCCGCTGCCCACCACCCACCACCCACCGGGAGAAGCCAGCGAGGGAGAGGGCGTCGATGCAGGCCTGTGTGCCGCCCACCACAACGACGTCAGCATGACCATCACCCATGCCCACCATACAACCCGCAAGGCACATGACACACCGTGAGAAGCCAGCGAGGGACAATGCGTCAATGCAGGCCTCTGTGCCGCCCGCCACTCATCGTTAACCGCCATCAACCACCACCCACAATTCAGCACCCATCCCCCATGGCTCACCGTGAGAAGCCAGCAAGGGACAGGGCGTCGATGCACGCTTCTGTGCCGCCCGCCACAATAAATATCCCACCTCCAACCATCCACTGCTCACTGCCCACCATTCAGCACCCATCCCCCACTACCCACCGTGAGAAGCCGGCGAGGGAAAGGGCGTCAATGCACGCCTCTGTGCCGCCTGCCACGATGACATCGGTAGCCGTCCCCCCCATGCCCACCATACATCCCGCAAGGCACATTACCCACCGGGAGAAGCCAGCGAGGGACAACGCGTCGATGCAGGCCTCTGTGCCACCCGCCACGATGACCGTCCCACCTCCCACCATCCACCCATGGCCCACCCCCCAACACTCCTCCTACCCACCATGAGAAGCCAGCAAGGGAGAGGGCGTCGATGCAGGCCTCTGTGCCACCCGCCACGATGACCGTCCCACCTCCCACCACCATCCACGCATGGCCCACCCCCCAACACTCCTCCTACCCACTGGGAGAAGCCAGCGAGGGAGAGGGCGTCGGTGCACGCCTCTGTGCCACCCACCAAGACCATCACCCATCCCCCCCATGCCTCTCATCGCCCCCATTCCCCACCACTCACTGCCCCCGCCACCCACCGTGAGAAGCCAGCGAGGGAAAGCGCGTCGACGCACGCCTCTGTGCCGCCCGCCACAATGACGTCAGCAGCCCCGCAGCGGATCAATCGGAAGGCGTCTGCAATGGCATGCGCTGAAGAGGCGCATGCTGTTACTGATGCGTGGTTGGGACCCTGATGGGAGAGTGACGAGGGGAGAAAAGGAGAGAATAACAAGCGGGAACAAGGGGGAACAAGGGGAGAACAAGGAAGAACAAGGGAGAGGAGGAAAAAGGCGTCTGCGATGGCATGCGCTGACGAGGCGCATGCTGACACCGAGGCGTGGTTAGGGTCCTGATGGGAGAATGACGAGGGGCAAGAGGAGAAGAAGAAGGGAGAACAAGGGAGAGGAGGAGGAAGGTGGCATGGGCTGATGATGCCAAACTACCAAACTCACCTCCTATTATCACGTCATTCACCACCCCTACAAACGTTCAAATCACCACAACGTCACGTCACCTTGAGGCGGTGGCGGATGCTGATGTGCCCTGCCGCCATGTTGATGAGAATGCTACTATTTTCCAGCTCACCTCCTACAATCACACCACCTTCTGTTCAGTCACACCTGTAAAACTGCTCCGCCCACCTACCTTGAGGCGGTGGCGAATGCTGATGTGCCCTGCAGCCATGTTGATGAGAATGCGCGGCACAAAGTGCGGCGAGATGCGCCTTGGCTTCTGCTAGGAGAGGGAGGGGAGGGGTTACACAGGCTTACGACAAGGTTTGAAGGATAAAAAGAGATCAGGCTGAGGGTAAACTGGTTCTACAGAAATACTACAAGTGGGACGAGAAACACAGCAGTCCATGTTGATGACAATGCGCGGCACACAGTGCGGCGAGATGCGCCTGGGCTTCTGCTCGGGAAGGAGAGAGGGGAGGGGGCAAGGGAGGGGGAGGGAGAGTACAGAGTCATTTCAACAAACCCTGCCTGCTCCCATGATGATGAGAATGCGCGGCACACAGTGCGGCGAGATGCGCCTGGGCTTCTGCTCGGGAAGGAGAGAGGGGAGGGGGCAAGGGAGGGGGAGGGAGGGTACAGAGTCATTTCAACAAACCCTGCTCCCATGATGATGAGAATGCGCGGCAAACAGTGCGGCGAGATGCACCTGGGCTTCTGCTCGGAAAGGAGAGAGGGGAGGGGGCAAGGGAGGGGGAGGGAGGGTACAGAGTCATTTCAACAAACCCTGCTCCCATGATGATGAGAATGCGCGGCACACAGTGCAGCGAGATGTGCCTGGGCTTCTGCTCGGAAAGGAGAGAGGGGAGGGGGCAAGGGAGGGGGAGGGAGGGTACAGAGTCATTTCAACAAACCCTGCTCCCATGATGATGAGAATGCGCGGCACACAGTTCGGCGAGATGCGCCTGGGCTTCTGCTCGGGAAGGAGAGAGGGGAGGGGGCAAGGGAGGGGGAGGGAGGGTACAGAGTCATTTCAACAAACCCTGCTCCCATGATGATGAGAATGCGCGGCACACAGTGCGGCGAGATGCGCCTGGGCTTCTGCTCGGGAAGGAGAGAGGGGAGGGGGCAAGGGAGGGGGAGGGAGGGTACAGAGTCATTTCAACAAACCCTGCTCCCATGATGATGAGAATGCGCGGCACACAGTGCGGCGAGATGCGCCTGGGCTTCTGCTCGGAAAGGAGAGAGGGGAGGGGGCAAGGGAGGGGGAGGGAGGGTACAGAGTCATTTCAACAAACCCTGCTTCCATGATGATGAGAATGCGCGGCACACAGTGCGGCGAGATGCGCCTGGGCTTCTGCTCGGAAAGGAGAGAGGGGAGGGGGCAAGGGAGGGGGAGGGAGGGTACAGAGTCATTTCAACAAACCCTGCTCCCATGATGATGAGAATGCGCGGCACACAGTGCGGCGAGATGCGCCTGGGCTTCTGCTCGGGAAGGAGAGAGGGGAGGGGGCAAGGGAGGGGGAGGGAGGGTACAGAGTCATTTCAACAAACCCTGCTCCCATGATGATGAGAATGCGCGGCACACAGTGCGGCGAGATGCGCCTGGGCTTCTGCTCGGGAAGGAGAGAGGGGAGGGGGCAAATCAGATCAGGTCAAATCAGATCAGATCAGATCAGATCAGATCAGATCAGATCAGATCCCAGCTCTCCCCCTAGCTGACAACGCAATAACCTGCTGGTAGCAAAACACTCTCTCTTCCCCAGATGCACGCACGCACCTGCTCGAAGAGAAGGTGGCCTGCTGCTGCCACCTCGCGAATGCTGCCAATGCCTGCCCTCGCTCTCTCCCTTGCTCCCAACGCAAGCAAGTACCTGTTGTTAGCGAAAGAACTTCTCTTCTTCCAATGCACGCACCCCGCCCCCCAATTCCCCACCCTGCTCGAAGAGAAGGTGGCCTGCTGCTGCCACCTCGCTGATACTCCCGATGCCTCCTCTCTCCCCCTACACCCCCCAACTGCCCCATTGAACCCCGACCTCTCCCTCCATTGCACGAACCCCATCCCCCCCTCCATTGCACACACCTGCTCGAAGAGAAGGTGGCCTGCTGCTGCCACCTCACTGATGCTCCCGATGCCTCCTCCCACACACACTCCCTGGGTGGGTGAAACAGGAGCGCATGGGGATACGATGAGGGAAAGGTGGAGGATAAGGGTGGCATATGCCTTCACCAGTTCCTGCCTGCTGCTGCCACCTCGCTGATGATGCCGATGCCTCACACACACTCCCTGGGTGGGATGGGGTGGTAGAATGAGGGACAAGGGGGGAATGAGGGAAAAAGGGGGAATGAGGGAAAGGGGGGAATGCGTGCCGATGTTTTCACGCAGTCAGCTTCCTCCTCCGGCATCTATCAGACATCCTTCATGGCTTCACCAGCTGCTTAAAACAAACACAACCCTTCCATCCACTGTGTGCGACATGCTCCCCCCTACGCAAGACAGTGCCCTCCTGCTCTATCCGTACTCACCGTTCTCACACGTTCCTCCTCCTCCTCTGGCGTCCATCACACATCCATCATGGCTTCATCAGCTGCTTCTCACAACACACACACACACCCCAAAACCTAAACTCTGCAACAAAAAACCTTTGTCCCTACGCCAGACTGCTATCAATCTCACCGTTCTCACGCGGTCAGCCTCCTCCTCTGGCATCCTCCGCACCCATCATGGCTTCATCAGCTGCTGCTCACAGCCAGCCAGTCCCGCAACAACAAACAACGGCACAGCCTGATCACCTCTTGAACGCACAAGCATCCCCATGCAGTCAGCCTCCTCCTCCGGCATCCACCGCGCATCCATCATGGCTTTATCAGCTGCTTACAATGCAAGCAGCCCTTCCATGCTCATACGCGACACCACATGCTCATACGCCAAACTGTGTCCCTCTGTTCCATCATTCCCACTCACCGCTCTCACGCGGTCAGCCTCTTCTTCCGGCATCCACCGCGCATCCATCATGGCTTCATCAGCTGCTCTTATCGCATGCTGCACAAACTGAGGCATGCCCTCCAACCCCCCACCCCACCAGCTGCACCACCGGCAGCAGCAGCAGCGGGATTAGCAGCACCATCAGAACCACCAGCACCAGCAGCACCAGCACCAGCAGCGGCAGCAGAAACAGCAGCACCAGCAGCAGCATACACTCACCGTTCTCACGCGGTCGGCTTCATCTTCTGGCATCCACCGCGCATCCATCATGGCTTCATCAGCCGCTCTTATCGCATGCTGCACAAACCGAGGCATGCCCTCCAACCCCCCACCAGCTGCACCACCACCAGCAGCAGCATTGGCGGCAGAACTGCCTCCTTCCACCCCAGCATTACCACTATTAGAAGGACTATCAGGACGGCTATCAGCAGCAACCAGGGGGACAGGACGGACAGGAGGGACAACGCCGGCGATGCGAGAGGGGAGCTGGGAGAGCAGGGCAGTGGCAAGGCTGTCTGTCATGCCGGGAATGGCTATGTCCGATGGGGTCAGGGCCCGGATGGCACTGTCTCCGCCAATCAGGCGCTGCCACGTGGCAGCGGAGCCGATGCCGAGAGGGGTCACCATGCCAATGCCTGGCGAAGGGGGGGGGGAGGGAGGTGTGGGGGGAAGGGGTGGGGGTGTGGTGGTGAGGGGGAAGGAGTGGGGGCGTGGAAGAAGGAGGGGGAGGGGGAGAGAGGGGAGAGGGGACGTCTCAAAGGAGGCACGACACCCGGCATGCGAGATGGGAGGGAAGGCAGGTGGGAGTGAGCAGAGCAGCGGCGAGGCTGTCAGTCATGCCGGGAATGGCTATGTCCGATGGGGTCAGGGCGCGGATGGCACTGTCTCCGCCAATCAGGCGCTGCCACGTGGCAGCGGTGTTGAGCCCGAGAGGGGTCACCATGCCAATGCCTGGCGAGGGGAGGGGGAGGGGCGGGAAGGGGGCGTGGAGAGAAGGGGAGGGGGGAGAGAGGGGAGAGAGGAGGCACAACACAGGGCATGTGAGATCGGGAGGGAAGGCAAGGGAGAGCAGGGCAGCGGCGAGGCTGTCAGTCATGCCGGGAATGGCTATGTCAGATGGGGTCAGGGCCCGGATGGCGCTGTTTCCGCCAATCAGGCATTGCCATGTGGCAGCGGAGCCAATGCCGAGAGGGGTTACCATGCCAATGCCTGGCGAAGGGAGGGTGGAGGAGGTGTGTGGGGGGGGGGTGGGGGTGTGGTGGTGGGGGGGGGAGAGGAAGGGGGTGGGGGTGTGGAAGAAGGAGGGGGAGGGGGAGAGAGGGGAGAGGGGACGTCTCAAAGGAGGAACGACACCCGGCATGCGAGATGGGAGGGAAGGCAGTTGGGAGAGCAGGGCAGCGGCGAGGCTGTCTGTCATTCCGGGAATGGCTATGTCCGATGGGCTCAGGGCCCGGATGGCGCTGCTTCCACCAATCAGTCGTTGCCACGTGGCAGTGGCGCCCATGCCGAGAGGGGTCACCATGCATGCCAATGCCTGGGGGAAAGGGAGAGAAGGGGAGAGGGGGAAAGATGGGGAGAGAGATGGGAGGGAGGGGAGAGAGGGGTTCAGGTTAGGGCTCGGGTTGTTACTATAGACCGTCGCAGGTATCGCAATCAGCGGGAGGGCGTACTTGTGACAACGACCCACAGTTGCGGCACGGGAAGGGGAGGTGGCATCTGGGGCGGGCAGGCCCGCGTCCTGGTCACCACCAAATCACCTGAAACGGCCCTGAGCTGAAAGAATCGCAGTCAGGGAGGGAGGGGCGTACCTGTGACAACGACCCGCCTTTGCGGCACGGGAGGGGGAGGCGGCAGCTGGGGGAGGCCTTTGTGCTGCGGTAATGGCTGTTGCGGGGGACGTGCAAACGGGGACGATGGTGGTGCGGCTGCTATGGAAGGGTCCGAGGGATCTGAAGCGTCGGACGGGCTTGAAGCAGACGAGAGCATGCGAGACGATCTCTGGGCCAACGCGGATCCAGAAACGGCTGAGATTGCTGCTGCTGCGGAATGGACGGCTGAGATGAGCGCTGGATGGGTACTGGCGACGGGATGCAGGGAACGTGCGAGGGCCTCAAAAACGCCGCTGTGAGTGGCCATGGTGGAAAATGTGCAATCTGGCTCACTTCGATTGAGATCTCGAGAGATGTGAAAAGGCGAAGGTAGAAGATAGGGAAGATTCGTTTTAAAGGGTGATATTCTGAAACAATGTGCTATGCGCCAGAGCAAAGAAACTCCACATAAGAGATACGCTGGCCAACAAGACGCGGATGAAATATCATACACTAATTTCCACACGAAGATGTTGTTTGTTTTTGAATGCTGGGTCGACTGAGCTCGCCAGGACAACCAGCACTGAAATCTACCTGCTGTCGTCGCGTTATCTGGACGAATTTCTTCCTCTCATGCTTTCTCTTCCATCCCTTCTGCTCCACTAATACTCGTTATTGGCGCCGAAGAGAATTGTTACACTGGAACTGGATGTAGTAGGAAATTCCAAGTTCCAACACTTCCAGACTCACTCAACTGAGTGGAGCAATGTATCAACAAGTAACCTTGATATAGTCTCTAGAGGAAGATTAGACTAATCTGGTATTTTCTCAGTGACAACTAAACTTTCCCAAGCCTACCGTCCGTCAATAACAAATGCGCTAAGTAAAGATGCAGAAATACAGAAACGAGAGCAAGCTTGCTTTGCCCTTCGGCCAGTAAATTTTGTACAAGGAACAAGCCCCATTGTATACTTCTGACACTCTTCAGGTTGTGGCTACGTGTGAACTTTATCAAGGGTAAAGGAATCCACGACGTCTTGCACCTCTAGTATAATCTTTCGCGCGTCTACTCCAGAGAGTTCATGGCTTCTGAAAAGGCTCTCAGCATCCGGAACATCTTGTGGCTGTTGCAAACCGCAAGCTAATAGTAGAGCAAACTCTTTGGATTCCTGCAAAGCAGTATGAAGAGCCATTAATTGGACTGCTTGGCTTCACATGAAGCATTGTACCAGAAAAATAGGTCTTACCGCAGCAATGTCTTTCGCGTAATCCTGCTGGTGTTGTCGGCTATCAAGTTGCGACGAGGACACAATATCCTCTACTCTGACGGCGATTGTTTCCTCAACCTGAAAGATAAAGCCACTAAGAAACGTTGAAAAAAAAAGGACACGAAAGTTCGTAGCAGAAAGTTGGGTCGACGATTTTGTTCACACCTTGTCAAGTTCGTAAAGAAGGTCAAGAGGTGCACGCCGGCGAGCACATTTGAGCCGAATCTCCTTGTCCGCAACCTGATTTTCAGCCGATACAATGGGAGAGGGTTCAATATGGAGAACCGTCGCTGGGGAAGTCATCCACGAAAATTGTTGACAAGGGGAGTTCTCGACAGCATTTTGAGAATCTCCTTGAAAACTCGAATCGCTATTGCGTCCTCTCGGAGAAGAACAGTCAGACTCTCTGTCGACGTAAATGGTAGCACTTCTACGCTCGCGAAGACCAGATGATGAAAATGCTTGGGAATTGGAAGGTTGAGAAACAGCCTGATAGTTTGCAAACGAGTCGGACTCTCTGTCGACATAGATCGCAGCACTCCTACGCTGGCGAATACCACACGAAGAATCCATGGATGGATAAGGAACTGAGAAATCTCAAGAGAGTCGAAGTATGAAACGACCAAGGAGACAAGTGGGATTGATAACTTGGAATAAGGGGGTCTGTAAGTCAGCATTTATGCCGATCGGCCGACACGAAAGCATGATTCCGCCTCACACGGATGCCTAAAACATCGGATTCCCTCCCAGACGCAGTCTGGGGATTCCTTGCACATCGGGCTCACATCGCCAAATCCAGGTCTGATCCCAGCCAGACCTCTGATCACCTGCGCTGGGGCCAGCCAAACGTGGCGCAAACCCAGTTTCACGGCTACAGTATGGCATTCAAATCGAAAGCTTCGGACTCGGGTCTTGGAGCGCGTGGCTAAGCCGAAACTTTCTGTACTTTTGACCGTTGAACGTTGATGGCTAGCCATGATGTCATTTTGTCCTAGTGTTGAAAAAGAGTAAAACTACCAGAGAGATAGTATAACGAGTACGAAACAATACCACCTAAGTGGATCCAGCATTATGTTGACCTTCCTAACTTTCTGATGACTACAGAAACTCTTCAATTTCAAAGTTATGCAGATCCATGTGACTTGAAATGTTAATATGAACATAATTAATTGATATTTTGAAGTGCATAGTAGATACATTCTATAAGTTCATTTATGAAAGTAGTCTCCCAAAAAAATGTTGCTGTAACCTTTTTATGGAGGATGAACTCCGTCATTGTGCTGGACGGGAGTTTTAGGAGGTCATCGTCTATCAGAGGACCAAGCATAGATTTCCAGCACACGAGTAGTTACTCCCGATCAGTGCGACACGTGTCGCAACGCGACTGGTTGTCGCCCCTCCCGCCAATAGCATGGCGGCGCCGTCGTCTCTGCTCCGAGCGGGCTTCAGATCCGCGCGAGACGCGCTGAACCGCGGCGACAGATGCAGCGTAAGGATCCCAGCGTCTGCGTCACAGGTGCAGCGTAAGGATCCCAGCGTCTGCGTCACAGGTGCAGCGTAGTAAGATACTCCCGTAACGTATCTCCGAGTTACATTGTAACAGCAATCGGAAATACTGTCATTGTCTGCGGAATTACACTCTCGTTGTCACAGCTGCAGCGTCAGACACACCATGTTCCAAAGTTACATCGTAGCAGTGTCCCAATCTCCAAGGTTTACCCGTGCAAGGCATTAGAAACGAGAGATTCGCATCAAAACCGCGCGATACAAACGGGCTGAAGTGTCTCGACCCGACCTCGATTGTTCATTCAACGGTCCCACCCTTTCTTCCCGCGGGTTTCCGCTTCGGGCTGCCGGAACTTGCTTCCCGCGGGCGAAACGCAACTCGAGCCCCCAGAGCGCGCCGAGTTCAGCACTGAAGGATGCAGTGCTTCCGGGGAGGCAGCGTTTCTAGCGCAGCACTCTGCTGCCATGCCTCCAGAAATGGGGGGTTCATATCCGAACCGCTCGAGAGAAACGGGGTGTCTTAACCTGCCTTCTCCTCAGCTGTTCCTTCAACGGTCAACTTGCCCCTCCTCCCGCCCTTTTTCCAGCTTCGAGCTACCAAAAATCTCTTCCCGTGGGCGCTACAGCAGCTCCATCCCTCCGAGCGCGCCGAGTTCAGCACTGAAAGTGGCAGTGCTGTCAGGGAAATGGACGTCTGAGTCAACTCGAAGTCAACCTGCCCCCCTTCCCACCCTTTTCTTACAGCTTGAGAGTGCTGGCATCTTCCCGCGGGCGCTACAGCAGCTCCATCCCTCCGAGCGCGCCGAGTTCAGCACTGAAAGTGGCAGTACTGTCGGAGAAGCGGCAGTTTGAGTCGACTTAAAGCCAACCTGCCCCTTTTTCCATCCTTTTTTCTCCTTCAGGTTGCTGGCAGTCTCTTTTCGCGGGCGTTGCAGCAGCTCCATCCCTCCGAGCGCGCCAAGTTCAGCACTGAAAGTGGCAGTGCTGCCGAGGAAGTGACGACTCCAGCGCAGCAATCTGCCGCTGGTGCCGGTGCTGCTGCTGGTGCTGATTCAGGAGCTGCTGGTGATGCTGCTGGCGGTGCTTCAAGCAATGCCGCTGCAACTGACGCAGCGTCGAGCGGTGCTGCGGTGACGAGCGGCACGGATGGGTCTAGTGCGGTGCTGGCGAAGCTGCTCAACGTGCCCCGCATGATGCTCAAGGAGGAGGTTCTGCGATCCTTCCGCTACGCTGCGCCTGCGCTGACGCCAGCCGACGTGTTCACTGTGCTGGACGACCGCCTGCACACACTGCACTGGTACGGTGCGGTGTGGTGCGATGTGGTGTGTTGCTATATGGTGGAGTGCGGTGCTGGGTGGTATGTGTGGAATCCCATCTGTTGCTCAATGTGCCCCGCATGGTGCTCAAGGAGGAGCTTCTGACGCCAGCCGACGTGTTCACCGTGCTGGACGACCGCCTGCACACACTCCACTGGTATAGCGGGGTGGAATGCGGTGCAGTGTGGTGCAGTGCGGTAGGATGCGGTACTGTGCGGTGCGGTGTGGTGTTTTTGTGGTGCGGTAAGGTGCGACATGGTGGTGGGGTGCGATGCTGGGTGGTATGAGGGAGTGTGGAATCTCGTGTGCTGCTCAACGTGCCCCGCATGATGCTCAAGGAGGAGCTTCTGCGATCCTTCCACGTGTGATGAGCCTATTTTTTAGTCTATTTTTGAGTCGATTTTTTAGTCGATTTTGAGTCGACTAAAAAATCGACTCATCACGCATGGTGCTCTTGCGATCCTGGCCTTCATCTCCTCGTGGACTCTCCACTCCTCTCCTCTTTTCTCCTTTCCGTTCTCATCGCCGTTACAGGCAGCTCGAGCTCAAGTCAACCGAGGATATCAACAAGGCCCAAAAGCTCGTGGAGCTCTACACCAAGGGGAGCAGCCCACAGATGATTCCCTTTTCTCTCCCTTCACTCTCCTCTCCTCTCATCTCCTCTCCTCTCATCTCCTCTCCTCTCATCTCGTCTCCTCTCATCTCCTCTCCTCTCATCTCGTCTCCTCTCATCTCGTCTCCTCTCATCTCGTCTCCTCTCATCTCGTCTCCTCTCATCTCGTCTCCTCTCATCTCGTCTCCTCTCATCTCGTCTCCTCTCATCTCATCCCCCTTCACTCTCCTCTCCTCTCATCCCCGTTACAGGCAGATTGAGTTCAATTCACCAGACGACTACAGCAAGGCCCGGGAGCTCGTGGATCTTCACAGAATGGGGGGGCAGCTCACGGGTTCGGCCTCTAACTCTGCGCGCACTCTCCTCTCCTCTCTTCTCTGTAACTCCGTTACAGGCAGATGGAGTTCAAGTCACCAGACGACTACAGCAAGGCCCGGGAGCTCGTGAAGCTTTACAAGAGGGGGGGCTCGGCGAGGTTTGCCCCTAACTCCCCGTGCGCTCTCCTTCCCTCTCATCCCCGTTACAGGCAGCTTGAGTTCAAGTCAACCGAAGACTACAGCAATGCCCGGGGGCTCGTGGAGAATTACAAAAGGCAAGGCTCGCGGATACGCCTCCAAGAGGTGTGTTCTGGGGGAGATGGTAGCTGTGGGTGGGGAAGGAAGGGGGGGGGGACTCAACAAGGCTCATTGGGCTCTACATAAGAGGGGGCTCCCGGTCCCGGATACGCCTCCAAGAGGTGGGTTCTGGGGGAGGTGGCAGCTGTGGGTGGGGAAGGAAGGATGGGGGGACTCAACGAGGCTCATGGGGCTCTACAAAAAGGGGGGGCTCCCGGTTGCGCCTCCAAGAGGTGTGTTCTGGGGAGGTGGCAGCTGCGTTGGTGCGGGGAACTGTCGGGGAGGGTTTGATGACTCACCAGGTGCGCCCAACAGGGGGACTCGCAAATGCGCCTCCTAGAGGTGTGTTCTGGGGGAGGTGGCAGCTGCGTGCGTGCAGGAGAAGGGTGGGGAAGAGGGGAGGAGTGTGGGCAGGAGTGCAGAGGCTTGTTGTGGGTCTTGTGTCTCCACAAGAGGCATCACAACGCCTCATGCCTGTTGTGTCTGCCGGACTATCCAGTGGGAGCGAGCCATCCCACTGCATGTCCCCCCTCTTCCCCTTCCCCTCCCGCTCCCAGTGGTCTCCCAGGGACCACGAGCTGGCGTTCCACAAGAGGCATCACAATGCCTCATGGCTGTTAGGGCTGCTAGACTATCAAGTGCCAGTTGTCCCCTTCTCCCTCTGCCTCTCTTTTCCTCTGCCTTCGCCCAGCTGTCTTCCAGGGACCACGAGCTTGCGTTCCACAAGAAGCATCACAACTGGGAGCTTCGCCAGTGGAGAGACGTCTCGGTGAGCTGCTTCCCTCCCGCTTGCTGCCTGCTGCTTGCTGCTTGCTTCTTGCTGTGTTTGCCACTTGCTGCTTTCTTCTTACTAGCTGCTACTTACTGCTTTGCTCTGTTTTCTCCTTGTTGCGTGCCGCTTGCTGCTGCCTTATTGCTGCTTGGTGCTGTTGTGTGCTTCTTGCTCCTAGTTGCTCGCTGCTTACTCTTTTTGCCGGTTTTGTCAAAAGTAACTTTCAGTTTGAAACTTCAGCACTGTATCTCCAATATAGACTATGTTGGTTAAAAGATAAATTTGTAGGCGCCTCAAAACTCCTCTGAAGATGAGAAGAGTGAGGGGATAGGCCAACTTGTTGACCACTGCTCCTCCCCCTCGTCGTAGCCCCTCTGACTGCCTCTCTTGCTGAACCTCCCCTCTCGTTCCCGGCTGCCTCTCTCCGTTTCACCCTCCTCCTCCTTTATGTCAAACCCTCTGAGCTCATTATGACGGGGTTGCCTCACCATGTCTGCCTTCCCTCGCCCCTTATTCCCTCACCCCTCGCCCCTCAACCACCAACTCTCACCACTCGCGCCCCCTCTTTTCACCCCTCACCTGTCACCCGTCACCATGTCCGTGTTTCCATCCGCACTCATATTCTGAGGCAGCCCCATCTTAATGAGCTTAGAGGGGGTGGCATAAAGGGAGGAGGAGGGGAAAACAAAGAGAGGCTGCCGGGCACGACAGAGGAGGTTGAGCAAGAGAGGCAGTGAGGGGGGCTGAGGCGAGAGGGAGGAGCAGTAGTCAACAAGCTGGTCTATCTCCTCAGTCGTTAGACGGTGCATTTTGTGATTTCTTGAAATGCGAGAGGAAGGGGGGGGGAGAAAGGGGGAGCAGTAGTCAACAAGCTGGTCTGTCTCCTCCGCCGTTCAACACTGTGCCTCCCTTAGAGGCGCCTTAAAAGTGGGCTGAGGTAAGGAGGGCGAGGAGCAGTAGTCAACAAGCTGGTCTATCTCCTCAGTCGTTAAATGTTGCATTTTGAGATGTCTTGAAATGCGAGAGGAAGGGGGGGGGGGGAGAAAGGGGGAGCAGTAGTCAACAAGCTGGTCTATCTCCTCCGTCGTTAAATGTTGCATTTTAAAACGTCTCAAAACGCGAGGGAGGGGAGCAGTAGTCAACAAGCTGGTCTATCTCCTCAGTCGTAGAACACTGCGCCTCCCTCAAACCCCTTTGCTCGCCTCTCTTTCTCTATCTGCCTCTGTCTGTCTCTCCCTCCTCATTCCCCTCCCCCTCCCCCGACTCACTGGGGCAATGAGCACGATTGGAAGTGCTCATGGCGATGTTGGAGTAGACGATGTGTCTATTTTTTAGGCACCTCAATAACGATTTTTTTTAGTTTATTTTTTAGGCGCCTCAAAAGCCACTTTTTAGTCTATTTTTGAGGCGCCTCAAAAACTGTTTTTGAGTCTATTTCTGAGGCGCCTCAAAAATAGACCCCCGACTCACTGGGACAATGAGGATGATGGGATGGAAAGTGCTCATCATGGAATGTTGGAGTAGACGATGTGACGGCATGCAATAGAGAGCGCTTCTTTGAACGCCTCGCCTCCCCCTCCCATCACTCCTCAGCCTTCCTCTCGTTCTCTGTCTATCTGCCTCTGTCTGTCTCTCTCTCTCTCTCCCTCTCGATTCCACCTTCCCGCCTCCTTCGTCTCAACTCAACATACCCCTCCTCTCAGCTCAACATGATGGGCCCCCCACATGATGTGAAAGCAGACGATATAGAGCACTCCTTTGAAGACTGTGTCGACTTTTGAGACGTCTCAAAAGCCATGGGGGCCCCCCCACACGATGTGAAAACAGACGATATGGAGCACTTCTCTGAAGACTGTGTCTTCCCCCCAACCTCACCCCTCTGCCCGCCTCTCTTTCTCTATCTGCCTGTTTCTGTCTCTCTCCCCTCCTCTCCATTCCCTTCCCCCCCCCCCCCCCCCCCCCCGACTTCTCAACATGCTCCTTGCCCCCCCTTTTCAGCTCATCGTGACGGGACTCCCAGACGACGTGAAGACAGACGACATAGAGCAGTTATTTAAAGGCTACATGCTGCACCCGCCCTCTCTATGTGCCCCACCCCACTCTCTCAGCTCACCATGATGCAATTCTTGGTTGCCCCCCCTCTCTCTCTCTCTCAGCTCATCATGACGAGCCTCCCAGATGATGTCAGAACAGACGACATAGAGCAGTTCTTTAAAGGTCATGCCTCTCCCCTCTCCTCACCCCTCTCCCTGCCTCTCTCTCACTCTATCCGCCTCTGTCTGCCTGTGCCCCCCCTTTCAGCTCATCATGACGGGCCTCCCAGATGATGTGAAGACGGGCGACATAGAGCAGTTCTCTGAACTCTCCATGCTGCACCCGCCCTCTCTTGCACAATCTGCCTCTATCCGTCCATGTCTTTCTGCCTCTCCATTCCCTCAGCTCATCATGACAGGCCTCCCGGACGATGTCAAAACCGATGACATAGAGCAGTTCTTTGAAGACTACATGCTGCACCCGCCCGCCGTGTACCACGTCAGGATGTGAGTTTGCCACGTCAGGATGTGAGTCTGCCACGTCAGGATGTGAGTTTGCCACGTCAGGACGTCAGTTTGCCACGCCAGGATGTGAGTTTGCCACGCCAGGATGTGAGTTTGCCACGTCAGGATGTGATTATCCCATTCCCCTCTTCCTTCTCCCCTTCTCCGCTTTATTACCCCTTCTACGCTTCTCCCCCATCTTGCCTTCTCCTGCGTGCTCCTTCCCCCGTCCCTCCCCCCCCTTTCTCCTTCCCCCATGGCAGAGAAAGGAGAGGAGTCCCCACTCCTATGAGGCTGTGCATGAACGGGGAGACGCAGCCGATAGTGGACCTCGCGGAGCGCCGTGGGTAACAACCCGCTCTCTGTTCCCTCTTTTTCACGTCTCCTTTCCCCGTCACCAGAGAAAGGAGAGGAGTCCCCACTCCTATGCGGCTGCGCATGAAGGGCGAGACGCGGCCGATAGTGGACCTCGTGGAGCATAAGGGGTGCTGCTCTCCTCTCTGCCTTGCCCCATTCCCCTCTACTCCCTCTCCCTTCATATGGCAGAGAACGGAGAGGTGTCCCCACACCCATGAGGCTGCGCATGAAGGGCGAGACGCGGCCGATAGTGGACCTCGTGGAGCATAAGGGGTGCTGCTCTCCTCTCTGCCTTGCCCCATTCCCCTCTACTCCCTCTCCCTTCATATGGCAGAGAACGGAGAGGTGTCCCCACACCCATGAGGCTGCGCATGAAGGGCGAGACGCGGCCGATAGTGGACCTCGTGGAGCGCCGTGCCGTGGTGCGATTCGCCAACCAGATGGAAGCGCTAAGGGCTTTAAGGGAGAAGCACAGGGAGTTCGTGGGCGACAGGATGGTGGAGCTCAGCCTTCTACAGTGATTTTGTATTGAGACAAGTCTTATAACAAATGTTTCCATTAGTACCTAGAGCTTGCTTGCAACCAGCTGACGGCGCTGAGGGCACTGAGAGAGAAGCTCACGGAGTTCCTGGGGGACCAAATGGTCGAACTCAGGCTTCTACAGTGATTATGAGAAACGTTTGTACGTACCAGAACCTAATATTTGCAGGTAGAGGAAGGCGCTGGGGGAGTGCTGTAAAAAGCAAGTGTGTTATACCATGTAGTCAAGTTGGGAGATCCATTCTGTCTGAACTGAAGAAACTGGTTGGTGGTGGTGTAGTGTAGATTTTCACTACCAAAACCTGTGAACTCATCCAGGTAAAACAATGATGAAAATATCTCCAGCAGCACGCAGTCTGTGATGCCATGCATCCTATACTGGGAGAGTTGCTTCGTGTGGAAAACTGCTGTGTGTGTGTAATTTGAAACACAAGACGATGCATTTGCAATGCAGTGCACCGTTCACTGCTACTCAGCAACGATCACTTAGTGAGAACCATTGATACGTGCTAGTACTACGGCGGTAACATTGTACGAAAGGGCAGGGGAACAAGACTGCACATTTGGGCGGATGGTGCTGCTTTAAAGTGTGCCAGCTCGGAAAACAGATGCTGTAATTTCTGGCTTACCGTAAAAGCAGAACTTTCGCATACAGAAAAACCATTAGTCAGAGTACAGTAAATACTGCACTCGAATGGTCGAGAACCACATGAGCTGCGGCTGCCACCCTGCTTTAATCTCATCTACACTCCTACCCGCATCTACACCCTTTCTCAAGCTATCGGTACCGGCAAGCTTGTCGATCCAAAAGGGGCCATTGGGAGAGTTGGTGGGGCTGTCGTTGCGCCAGTGGAAGTGGGAGGGGTAGAGGGAGCGAGCAGAAGAGAGGAGGATGAGAGCGAGACGGAGAGGATCGAAAGACGCTGGGTCGGTGACGTGGATCTGAGGAGGGGGAGTGGGGGGAAATGGAAGCAAAGGGGAAGATAGAAAGCAGGATCTGGACGAGAGGGGATGGCACTGGGCCAGTGGAAGTGGTGGGGGGAGGGGGGTAGGGGGAGCGAGCGGTGGTGAGGAGGATAGGAGCGAGACGGAGAGGATCGAAGGAGGATGGATCAGTGACATGGATCTGGGGAGGGGAGTGGGGTGGAGGGGGATAAGAAAATTTGGGGTAGGGAGAGAGGAGTAGTGGGGATATCGTTGCACCAGTGGAAGTGGGAGAGGTCCAGGGAGCGAGCGGTGGTGTAGAGGGCGAAAGCGAGATGGAGAGAATCGAAAGCAGGGTCGGTGACATGGATCTGGGGAGAGGGTGGAGAACAAGGGAGCAACGGGGAAGTGAGAGTTGGATATGGGGAGCGGAGTGGGAATGGGGGGTGCCATGAGAGAAGGTGAGGGTTGCGAGTGGTGAAGAATGGCGATAACAGACATCCGTTGTCACACTGCTGCGAATTTGTATTCTTGATCCACAACAGAAGGGCAGAAGTACTAAAGCGTTACAAACCTGCTGTTATTATCACATTTTGTTTACTGTTGATCCTTTTGCTAAAGCGTTCTCTTTAGTACTGCTGCACTTCTATTATGAGTCAAGAAGACAACAGACGCCCATTGTCGTACTGCTGCTGAGACAGCTCACCTCAATCCCACACACTTGCTTTCCAGAGTATTTCCCGGCAACAGGAGAGAAAAAAGCCTCTCTGATGGCACATCCTGGGCACCGTTGATCCCAGGTACTGCTGCCTATCTGTTTTGAGAGAACCACTCACCTCGATACCGCACACTTGTTTCCCAGAAAATTTGCCGGCAACAGGAGAGAAGTAGGCCTCCCTGATGGCACACCCTGGGCACCGTTGATCTCGCACTGCCTGGGCAAATCGATGGTCCATAAATGGAGCTCCAATCTGGGTGGAAGGCAAGGGGGAGGAGTGCAGAAAACGAAGGACGGAGTGAGGTGGGATGAGAGGGGGGGGGGGGAGAAGAGGGGAAATGAAGGGAAGGGTGCTGCGATCTGGGTGGAAGGCAGGGAGGAGAAGCTTTTTCAAAGACTGATCAGTAATGGGAACACATGGCAAGGACAGGGTTGAAATGTCTTTTCGAGGTGACTTTTGAGACATTTTTGAGACATCTCAACGATCTTCAAACATCAATTCACGCCAACTGGAAGAGGTGGCTTTTGAGTCGACTCAAAGGACAGGGTTGAGATGTCTTTTCGAGGACTTTTGAGACATCTCAACGATCTTCAAACATCAGTTCGCGTCAACTGGAAGGACAGGGTTGATGAGCCGTCACATTCCATTCCATCACTGCACCCATTCCATTCCATCACATTGTGCTGCCAATTGAAATCCGCGTTCTGTTCCACCGCATGCCTATGTGGTGATCGCTTTTAAGGCGCCTCAAAGGTCACATGCTCATGTGATTGCCTACCAGCTGGAAGGGCAGAGTTGCCCCGTCGCTTCACACTTCCATTCCATCCCAGCGAGTTGCGCTGCCCATTGCAATCCGTTCTGTGCTCTTGAGTCGACTTTTGAGTCTGCATTTGAGTCGACTTTTGAGTCTGCTTTTGAGTCGACTTTTGAGTCTGCTTTTGAATCGACTTAAAAGCAGAGTTGCCCCGTCGCTTCACACTTCCATTCCATCCCAGCGAGTTGCGCTGCCCATTGCAATCCGTTCTGTGCTCTTGAGTCGACTTTTGAGTCTGCATTTGAGTCGACTCTTGAGTCTGCATTTGAGTCGACTTTTGAGTCTGCTTTTGAATCGACTCAATAGCAGAGTTGCCCCGTCACTGTACACTTCCATTCCATCCCAGCGTGCTCTGCTGCCCATTGCAATCCATTCTGTTCCACCGCATGCATGCCTATGTGGTGATCGCCTGTGAGGCGCCTCAAGAGTCAGTCACATGCTTATGTGATTGCCTACCAGCTGGAAGGGCAAAGTTGTGCCGAAATTTTTAACCGACTCAAGTTTCAGGAAAGGTTGAGCTGTCAGCCTGTCACTGCACCCATTCCGCGTGCTGCCCACTTCATTCATACCACGACCACATGCTTATGTGATTGCTTACCAGCTGGAAGGGCAGAGTTGTGCCGCGGCCTTCACTCAGGTTGGTCCCCTGTCGAGCAAGAAGTTAGGAAAGGGTGTTGGGAGGGATTTTCGAATCAATATTTATCAGGGCCTCAGAGTTGAAATCACTGAAAGATAGGTGTGATATTTGAGAGTGTCACGAGGGCTCGTGCAAGAAAGACTGCATGCAAGGCGATGGGATGGGATGGGATGGGATGGGATGGGATGGGATGGGATGGGATGGGATGGGATGGGATGGGATGGGATGGGATGGGATGGGATGGGATGGGATGGGATGGGATGGGACGGGATGGGATGGGATGAGATGGGATGGGATGAGATGGGATTGGATGGGATGGGATGGGATGAGATGGGATGGGATGGGATGGGATGAGATGGGATGGGATGGGATGGGATGGGATGAGATGGGATGGGATGGGATGGGATGGGGTGGTCGAGGAGAATCAGCAAATGAGGCTAGTGAGTCAAGCTTTTGAGTCGACTTAAAAGCTGATTCAAGCGGAGAAAGGGGGCAGGGGAAGAATCTACGAACAGCTACATATGTTACATACACATTGCACTTGCAGGGGATTTTACATATCCACTTGCTTCATTAGAATCAAGCAAGTGGATGTGTATGTATGTAACACACGTAACAAGCACACACACTGCATGAGCAACCCACACTGCACGACCAGACCTGCATGAATTACAAGCACATCTCGTCCTGACAAACCACACTTCATGAGCACGCCATCGGGACTACTTTTGAGGCGCCTCAAAAGCCACTTCATGAGCACGCCATCGTGACTACTTTTGAGGCGCCTCAAAAGCCACTTCATGAGCACGCCATCGTGACTACTTTTGAGGCGCCTCAAAAGCCACTTCATGAGCACGCCATCGGGACTACTTTTGAGGCGCCTCAAAAGCCACTTCATGAGCACGCCATCGGGACCACTTTTGAGGCGCCTCAAAAGCCACTTCATGAGCACGCCATCGGGACTACTTTTGAGGCGCCTCAAAAGCCACTTCATGAGCACGCCATCGGGACCACTTTTGAGGCGCCTCAAAAGCCACTTCATGAGCACGCCATCGGGACTACTTTTGAGGCGCCTCAAAAGCCACTTCATGAGCACGCCATCGTGACTACTTTTAAGGCGCCTCAAAAGCACGCCATCGTGAATCGCGAGCAAGCATACATTCGTGAGACACGCCAGCATAGACGAGAGCAGTGGTGGGTGTGGTGCGGGCATGTTGGGTGATGGTGGGACCCGGACAGCGTCTCAACCACACCTCACTCATACTCACAAGCAGTGGTGGGCATGGGCAGGGCATGCCAGGTTCGGACCCACACACAGCCTCTCCACCACACCTCTTACTCACATAGGACAAGCAAACCTGTGCACACTGCACATAAACCACACCTCATACTCACACAGCACACATCTGAGCACACAATACCTCTATTTAAGCACCCCCTATGACGCAAGTCTCAGTGCAGACAAGAGAAGTGGTGGGTGGGTGCGGGCATGTTGGGCGACGGTGAGTGGGACCCCCGGCATCTTTGCCACACCTCATTCATACTCACACATAGTACAAGCACACCTGAGCACACGCACACTCCAACGCATGACCATACCTCAATCAGGCAAGTGCCAGTGTAGACAAGAGCAGTGGTGGGTGCGGGCATGTTGGGCGACGGTGAGTGGGACCCCCGGCATCTTTGCCACACCTCATTCATACTCACACATAGACATAGTACAAGCACACCTGAGCACACGCACACTCCAACGCATGACCATACCTCAATCAGGCACGTGCCAGTGTAGACGAGCGCAGTGGTGGGTGTGGTGCGGGCATGCTGGGAGTAAAAGGTGAGTTTTTGAGACGTCTAGTTTTGAGACGTCTAGTTTTGAGACGTCTCAGCAACTCAATCAGGCAAGTGCCAGCGTAGACGAGCGCAGTGGTGGGTGGGTGTGGGCATGTTGGGTGACGGTGGGACCCACAGCAGCGGCTGTAGCGCTGTCGGCACTGTAGCACTTGCACTGCACACATGAGCGTGTACCATCATACACCAACCAAAAGACGAGCATACCTCGATGAGGCAAGTCCCAGCATAGACGAGAGCAGTGGTTGGTGTGGGCATGTTGGGCGACGGTGGGACCCACAGCAGCTCAAATAGACCCCCTAGTCACATATCGCACAGGCACACCGCAGCGCACAGCACAGCACAAGCATACCTCGATGAGACATGTCCCAGCATAGACGAGAGCAGTGGTTGGTGTTGGCATGTTGGGCGACGGTGGGACCCACAGCAGCGGCTGTAGCGCTGTGGGCACTGTAGCACCTGCAGCTGTAGCACCTGCCACTGTAGCAGATGATAACAGAGCTGCCACTGTAGCGGGTGGACTTATAGACGACGATGACGGTGCTTCTATTGAGACATTTTGCTGCTTGAAAGAAGCTGTTACCGGTGAGGCAGAGTGTGACGGGGAGGGAGAGGGGGAAGGGGGAGGAGCTGAGACGGGGGCAGGGGAACGAGAGGTGAGTGCTGCAGGAGAGAGGAGAGGTTGAGGGTAGGGGAAGAAGGGGGAGGAGGAGCGAGACCAGCCTTCCATCTGCACCACTTCAAGCTTGAACGCCGGGGCGAAGGGCTGGCTGCAGGCACTGCTGCTGCCGCCGCCACTGCTGTTTCTGGTGGTGGTGGTGCCGCCGCCGCCGCTGCTGCTGCTGCTGCTGCTGCTGCTGGTGGCACTGCCGCCGCCACTGAGCTTGGCGAGGTGGGGATCAGGTGGGAGGAACTCAGAGAGGAAGAGCAGCGAGAGCTCTCCCACTGTCATGCCGTGGCGTAGAGGGATGGCCTGTAGGTGGAGCAGGGGAGAGAGAGGGTTTAGCATGGTTGGGTTTAGGGTTTAAGTGGGGATCAGGTGGGAGTAACTCGGAGAAGAAGAGGAGTGCGAGCTCTCCCACTGTCATGCCGTGGCGCAGGGGGATGGCCTGAAAGAAAGCGGGGAGAGAGAGGGAGTAGCGTAGTTCAGGGTTTAGGGTTTAAGTGGGAATCAGGTGGGAGGAACTCGGAGAAGAAGAGGAGTGCGAGCTCGCCCACTGTCATGCCATGGCGCAGAGGGATGGCCTGGAGGAAGGGGGGGGTGTTGGGGCTCTGTGACTCGCCCATCCACCATCACCCCTCCTAGAGGGTTGGGTCTATCAAGCACGAGGAAGGAAGGGTGTGCATGTGCTGCGACACACGTGCTGGCAACTATAGTAGCTGTTCTGCTACGCGCCTTTCTCCCAACCAAGGAGGCGTGTTGGGGCTCTGTGACTGGCCCATTCACCACCACTCCTCCCAGTGGGTTGGGTGTGTCGAGCACGAGGAAGGAAGCAAGTGCTGTGACACACGTGCTGGCTGGCAGGGATGATACATGGTACGGTGGGAGGGAGTTACACACCTTCCTCCCAACCAAGGAGGCGTGTTGGGGCTCTGTGACTGGCCCATTCACCACCACTCCTCCCAGTGGGTTGGGTGTGTCGAGCACGAGGAAGGAAGCAAGTGCTGTGACACACGTGCTGGCTGGCAGGGATGATACATGGTACGGTGGGAGGGAGTTACACACCTTCCTCCCAACCAAGGAGGCGTGTTGAGGCTCTGTTATTGGCCCATCCACCACCACTCCACCCAGTGGGTTGGGTCTATCAAGCACGAGGAAGCGAGTGATAGAAGGGGAGAGGGCAGCTGCCACGAGGCAGTAGTACTAACCTTCCTGCCGACAAAGGAGGCGTGCTGGGGCTCTGTTATTGGCCCGTCCACCACCACTCCACCCAGTGGGTTGGGTCTATCGAGCACGAGGACGCGAGTGATAGAAGGGGAGAGGGATGGTGCATGGCAGGGGGACACTACACACCTTCCTGCCAACAAATGAAGCGTGTTGAGGCTCTGTTATTGGCCCATCCACCACCATCCCTCCGAGCGGGTTCGGTCTATCGAGTACGAGGAAGCGGCGAATGGACGGGCAGAGGGCAGGTGCCACGAGGCAGCCGTAGAGCGTCCAGATGAAGGTGTAGAAACGAGCCTGGCGGATTTTGAGACGTCTCAAAACAGGCAGCCGTAGAGCGTCCAGATGAAGGTGTAGACACGAGCCTGGCGGATTTTGAGACGTCTCAAAACAGGCAGCCGTAGAGCGTCCAGATGAAGGTGTAGACACGAGCCTGGCGGATTTTGAGACGTCTCAAAACAGGCAGCCGTAGAGCGTCCAGATGAAGGTGTAGACACGAGCCTGGCAGATTTTGAGACGTCTCAAAACAGGCAGCCGTAGAGCGTCCAGATGAAGGTGTAGACACGAGCCTGGCGGATTTTGAGACGTCTCAAAACAGGCAGCCGTAGAGCGTCCAGATGAAGGTGTAGACACGAGCCTGGCGGATTTTGAGACGTCTCAAAACAGGCAGCCGTAGAGCGTCCAGATGAAGGTGTAGACACGAGCCTGGCGGATTTTGAGACGTCTCAAAACAGGCAGCCGTAGAGCGTCCAGATGAAGGTGTAGACACGAGCCTGGCGGATTTTGAGACGTCTCAAAACAGGCAGCCGTAGAGCGTCCAGATGAAGGTGTAGACACGAGCCTGGCGGATTTTGAGACGTCTCAAAACAGGCAGCCGTAGAGCGTCCAGATGAAGGTGTAGACACGAGCCTGGCGGATTTTGAGACGTCTCAAAACAGGCAGCCGTAGAGCGTCCAGATGAAGGTGTAGACACGAGCCTGGCGGATTTTGAGACGTCTCAAAACAGGCAGCCGTAGAGCGTCCAGATGAAGGTGTAGACACGAGCCTGGCGGATTTTGAGACGTCTCAAAACAGGCAGCCGTAGAGCGTCCAGATGAAGGTGTAGACACGAGCCTGGCGGATTTTGAGACGTCTCAAAACAGGCAGCCGTAGAGCGTCCAGATGAAGGTGTAGACACGAGCCTGGCGGATTTTGAGACGTCTCAAAACAGGCAGCCGTAGAGCGTCCAGATGAAGGTGTAGACACGAGCCTGGCGGATTTTGAGACGTCTCAAAACAGGCAGCCGTAGAGCGTCCAGATGAAGGTGTAGACACGAGCCTGGCGGATTTTGAGACGTCTCAAAACAGGCAGCCGTAGAGCGTCCAGATGAAGGTGTAGACACGAGCCTGGCGGATTTTGAGACGTCTCAAAACAGGCAGCCGTAGAGCGTCCAGATGAAGGTGTAGACACGAGCCTGGCGGATTTTGAGACGTCTCAAAACAGGCAGCCGTAGAGCGTCCAGATGAAGGTGTAGACACGAGCCTGGCGGATTTTGAGACGTCTCAAAACAGGCAGCCGTAGAGCGTCCAGATGAAGGTGTAGACACGAGCCTGGCAGATTTTGAGACGTCTCAAAACAGGCAGCCGTAGAGCGTCCAGATGAAGGTGTAGACACGAGCCTGGCGGATTTTGAGACGTCTCAAAACAGGCAGCCGTAGAGCGTCCAGATGAAGGTGTAGACACGAGCCTGGCGGATTTTGAGACGTCTCAAAACAGGCAGCCGTAGAGCGTCCAGATGAAGGTGTAGACACGAGCCTGGCGGATTTTGAGACGTCTCAAAACAGGCAGCCGTAGAGCGTCCAGATGAAGGTGTAGACACGAGCCTGGCGGATTTTGAGACGTCTCAAAACAGGCAGCCGTAGAGCGTCCAGATGAAGGTGTAGACACGAGCCTGGCGGATTTTGAGACGTCTCAAAACAGGCAGCCGTAGAGCGTCCAGATGAAGGTGTAGACACGAGCCTGGCGGATTTTGAGACGTCTCAAAACAGGCAGCCGTAGAGCGTCCAGATGAAGGTGTAGACACGAGCCTGGCGGATTTTGAGACGTCTCAAAACAGGCAGCCGTAGAGCGTCCAGATGAAGGTGTAGACACGAGCCTGGCGGATTTTGAGACGTCTCAAAACAGGCAGCCGTAGAGCGTCCAGATGAAGGTGTAGACACGAGCCTGGCGGATTTTGAGACGTCTCAAAACAGGCAGCCGTAGAGCGTCCAGATGAAGGTGTAGACACGAGCCTGGCGGATTTTGAGACGTCTCAAAACAGGCAGCCGTAGAGCGTCCAGATGAAGGTGTAGACACGAGCCTGGCGGATTTTGAGACGTCTCAAAACAGGCAGCCGTAGAGCGTCCAGATGAAGGTGTAGACACGAGCCTGGCGGATTTTGAGACGTCTCAAAACAGGCAGCCGTAGAGCGTCCAGATGAAGGTGTAGACACGAGCCTGGCGGATTTTGAGACGTCTCAAAACAGGCAGCCGTAGAGCGTCCAGATGAAGGTGTAGACACGAGCCTGGCGGATTTTGAGACGTCTCAAAACAGGCAGCCGTAGAGCGTCCAGATGAAGGTGTAGACACGAGCCTGGCGGATTTTGAGACGTCTCAAAACAGGCAGCCGTAGAGCGTCCAGATGAAGGTGTAGACACGAGCCTGGCGGATTTTGAGACGTCTCAAAACAGGCAGCCGTAGAGCGTCCAGATGAAGGTGTAGACACGAGCCTGGCGGATTTTGAGACGTCTCAAAACAGGCAGCCGTAGAGCGTCCAGATGAAGGTGTAGACACGAGCCTGGCGGATTTTGAGACGTCTCAAAACAGGCAGCCGTAGAGCGTCCAGATGAAGGTGTAGACACGAGCCTGGCGGATTTTGAGACGTCTCAAAACAGGCAGCCGTAGAGCGTCCAGATGAAGGTGTAGACACGAGCCTGGCGGATTTTGAGACGTCTCAAAACAGGCAGCCGTAGAGCGTCCAGATGAAGGTGTAGACACGAGCCTGGCGGATTTTGAGACGTCTCAAAACAGGCAGCCGTAGAGCGTCCAGATGAAGGTGTAGACACGAGCCTGGCGGATTTTGAGACGTCTCAAAACAGGCAGCCGTAGAGCGTCCAGATGAAGGTGTAGACACGAGCCTGGCGGATTTTGAGACGTCTCAAAACAGGCAGCCGTAGAGCGTCCAGATGAAGGTGTAGACACGAGCCTGGCGGATTTTGAGACGTCTCAAAACAGGCAGCCGTAGAGCGTCCAGATGAAGGTGTAGACACGAGCCTGGCGGATTTTGAGACGTCTCAAAACAGGCAGCCGTAGAGCGTCCAGATGAAGGTGTAGACACGAGCCTGGCGGATTTTGAGACGTCTCAAAACAGGCAGCCGTAGAGCGTCCAGATGAAGGTGTAGACACGAGCCTGGCGGATTTTGAGACGTCTCAAAACAGGCAGCCGTAGAGCGTCCAGATGAAGGTGTAGACACGAGCCTGGCGGATTTTGAGACGTCTCAAAACAGGCAGCCGTAGAGCGTCCAGATGAAGGTGTAGACACGAGCCTGGCGGATTTTGAGACGTCTCAAAACAGGCAGCCGTAGAGCGTCCAGATGAAGGTGTAGACACGAGCCTGGCGGATTTTGAGACGTCTCAAAACAGGCAGCCGTAGAGCGTCCAGATGAAGGTGTAGACACGAGCCTGGCGGATTTTGAGACGTCTCAAAACAGGCAGCCGTAGAGCGTCCAGATGAAGGTGTAGACACGAGCCTGGCGGATTTTGAGACGTCTCAAAACAGGCAGCCGTAGAGCGTCCAGATGAAGGTGTAGACACGAGCCTGGCGGATTTTGAGACGTCTCAAAACAGGCAGCCGTAGAGCGTCCAGATGAAGGTGTAGACACGAGCCTGGCGGATTTTGAGACGTCTCAAAACAGGCAGCCGTAGAGCGTCCAGATGAAGGTGTAGACACGAGCCTGGCGGATTTTGAGACGTCTCAAAACAGGCAGCCGTAGAGCGTCCAGATGAAGGTGTAGACACGAGCCTGGCGGATTTTGAGACGTCTCAAAACAGGCAGCCGTAGAGCGTCCAGATGAAGGTGTAGACACGAGCCTGGCGGATTTTGAGACGTCTCAAAACAGGCAGCCGTAGAGCGTCCAGATGAAGGTGTAGACACGAGCCTGGCGGATTTTGAGACGTCTCAAAACAGGCAGCCGTAGAGCGTCCAGATGAAGGTGTAGACACGAGCCTGGCGGATTTTGAGACGTCTCAAAACAGGCAGCCGTAGAGCGTCCAGATGAAGGTGTAGACACGAGCCTGGCGGATTTTGAGACGTCTCAAAACAGGCAGCCGTAGAGCGTCCAGATGAAGGTGTAGACACGAGCCTGGCGGATTTTGAGACGTCTCAAAACAGGCAGCCGTAGAGCGTCCAGATGAAGGTGTAGACACGAGCCTGGCGGATTTTGAGACGTCTCAAAACAGGCAGCCGTAGAGCGTCCAGATGAAGGTGTAGACACGAGCCTGGCGGATTTTGAGACGTCTCAAAACAGGCAGCCGTAGAGCGTCCAGATGAAGGTGTAGACACGAGCCTGGCGGATTTTGAGACGTCTCAAAACAGGCAGCCGTAGAGCGTCCAGATGAAGGTGTAGACACGAGCCTGGCGGATTTTGAGACGTCTCAAAACAGGCAGCCGTAGAGCGTCCAGATGAAGGTGTAGACACGAGCCTGGCGGATTTTGAGACGTCTCAAAACAGGCAGCCGTAGAGCGTCCAGATGAAGGTGTAGACACGAGCCTGGCGGATTTTGAGACGTCTCAAAACAGGCAGCCGTAGAGCGTCCAGATGAAGGTGTAGACACGAGCCTGGCGGATTTTGAGACGTCTCAAAACAGGCAGCCGTAGAGCGTCCAGATGAAGGTGTAGACACGAGCCTGGCGGATTTTGAGACGTCTCAAAACAGGCAGCCGTAGAGCGTCCAGATGAAGGT